GGGACGCCCACAAGTTATTTTTAGACACACATGCAATATGATTGACAAGTGTTGTAGATTTCGTTACACAAAAAATTTATATTCTCATGAACATGTCCGCAGAGTGTGCATTTTGCTTTTTCATTAAACTTAAAAATTCAAGGTACTTTTATATAATTAAGAGTCAGTTTCTCTATTTAAATTTAACCGAACAGCAAACAAAGATTTATATTAATTAGTCAGTTCTGTGCACGGCTTGACTGCCAAGCTTTCTCAAGGTCTCAACTTGCTGGACGCGGATATACTCTATAAACGACTAACGGGCTAACAACAGTAACAATTAAATTCTCAATAGTACCACGAAGAAGGCGATGTAGCTCAGAAAACAACGCCGGTAGGACCTGATATTAAAAATAAGACTTTTGCCGGCGAAGCCAGTTGGCAGAACATCTTGGCTGTCAACAACAAGCTTTCGAATACATGACTAGTTTGGCTGTTCTTTCAGCGTCGTGTGTGTCCAAAATTCGTCAAAGATTTTGATAAAGCCCTTTCAAAATACTGTTTGTTTGATTTATTTTCTGCCATAAAGCATAAAAGAAAAGAAATTCGAAGAAATCGATAATGGAATTTGTTACGTGCGTTTGACCTTTATATTAATTAATTTAATTGTCGCCTTGAGCGAGCTATTTTTAAAACTGTTGTTTATGTGAACATGCAACCAATCAAAATCCTTCATAATGCTGATCAACCAATCAGATTTCCCGTCCACCAGGTGGACGGGAATCCCACACTTTAGATAGGTTTTGTGTCAGGCCCTATTCTGTGAATATAGGGCCTGAACTTCAGGTTATAATACCAAGGAATTTAGTTTCTTTAGCATTTTGTATAATTTTATCATTAATCTTAAAGGTTAGATTTGCGTTATGTTTTTTCCTGAATGATTTGAATATAATGTAGTTAGTCTTTTTAATATTTAAGGTAAGCTGATTATCCTTAAGCCATGTTTGCACAAGTATAAGTTGATGATTTATTTCTATTTCAAGTTGTTTCAGGTCTTTTCCTGAACGAAATAAATTGGTGTCATCTGCAAACAATATAAACGAAAGATTACTATAGAGCAATGTATATCATTGATATATAAAAGAAAAAGTAATGGGCCCAAAACTGTTCCTTGAGGAACTCCACATTTGATCGTTTTTTCAGTTGAGTAAGTTACATTATATTTAACTATCTGTTTTCTGTCAGTCAAGTAGTTTGCAAACCAATCATTGCATATACCTCTAATTCCATAATGATGAAGTTTAGTCAATAAAATTTTATGATTTACGGTGTCAAATGCTTTAGAAAGATCTAAGAAGATACCAACAGTATATTCCCCGTTTTCTATTGCAGTAGATATTTTGTCAACTAGATCAATCATTGCGAGACTTGTTGAGTATTTATTCCGAAATCCGTATTGTTTGTCATAGAGGATATCATGCTTAATGATATAGGATGTTAATCGTTTAAACATTATTTTTTCTAGTATTTTTCCAAAACTTGATAAGACTGAGATAGGTCTATAATTCGTAAATTTGGTTTTGTCACCAGTCTTATAAATGGGTGTAACCAGCGACATTTTTAACTCATGATGTATAATACCACATGTGAAGGATAGATTGAAAACATGGCACAGTGGTATTGAAATAATATGTGAAATGTGTTTAATAAGTTTGGAACTTATTCCATCGATTCCGCAGCTGCTTTTAGATTTCATAGAGGCAATTATTTCTTTAATTTCTTTGTTTGAAGTGCTTTTTAGAAACATAGATTTTTGATAGTCACCTTGTAGGCGCTTGGTGAAATTGTTAGAATTCTGATCGAACTTCTTAGCTAAATTTGGTCCTACATTAACAAAAAATTCATTAAATCTATTCGCAATTGTGTTTGGATTGTTTATTTCCCTGCCATCTTCTAGAGAAAACCTAGAAGGTAGCTGTTTTCTCTCTCCTTTTTTTCAAATTAATTCATTTAGTATTTTCCATGTAATTTTCAAATCAGCTTTGGCATCATTTAACCGTTTTTAAAAATGCCTTTTCTTGGAGACTCTTATAAGATGGTTTAATTTATTTCGGAATATTTTATAATTCGTTCTATTAAATTCTGTTGGCTTGCTTAGAAATTTCCTGTATAGTTTAGTTTTCGTTTTCGTGGATTTTATTAGTCCATTAGTTATCCATGGTCACAGTATTTATGGTCACTGACTTTTCCCGATACTTTGCTAACATGCAAATTGTCTAGTATCGATTTTCAAAAGAACTTAGAACGGCAATTTTATAAAGATATTACCAATACCAGAAATGCTAAAATTGTGTGTATTGTAATTGTATTGCAATTGTCACTAGTTATAATGTTTTTATAGTGCAGTCATGCCAATTTCCATCAGTACTGGTATCAAACCTGTAAAATGAACTATACTTTACAGCGGCACAGCCATATATTACTAAATACATATCAAAACATGTATCATTAACCTATATATCGCTAACCTTGAAAACTTGAAAATTGGGCTATTAATTTTCTTAATACTGAACCCCAGGCGCAAGCAAAATGTCATTTGGAACCCTGATAGAAGGGAGTTTCTTCTTGCGAGTATTGGCAATCCTTTCACAATTCGCCGCCATTTTCCCCGAGCCGGCGGCGCGAAGCGCCGTGCGAGGGTATTAATTTCCCCCCCGGCTATTTACACCCGTGGAAACGAAAGCATTAGCGAAGTCTAAAGTTCATCAATGAGCGCGGGCGTCGGTAACCAACGATGGGTGGTCATCCTCACTGATCTCAAAAATATGGCGGACTGTCATAAATAACGGACACTGATTGGTCCAATTTAAAGTTTCCATTATAACGGCTGCATGACGACAGCGAAATAGCAAACATTTCTTGATTTGATGAGTTGATGATTGATAAATTTCTTGCAAATATTCTTCATTATTGCTGGTATTTCTGCAAGATTTTGTAAATTTCAAGAAAGAAAGAAAGGGCGAAAGAATCAGCTAAAAGAAGGGAGCCGACGTTAACGAAGGTAAGTTTGTTTTAAATATTGATTTTATAATGGCTTTAAAACCCGACGGCCTTTGCGTATATGAAACAACTAAACAAGACAGCATATAATTTCAGTGTATCTTTAATAATATTGATTCCCTTTTTTATTATATTGAATTTTTTAAATAAAAAATAAAGCAAAGTTATTTGCAAGCGAGAATTTGAAATCATTTTATTGCAAACTCAAAGTTTTTCGATAAAGCCATTTAATAGTTAAAAGCAGTTTAGTTTTATAAAGAACACTTTAATTTAAAACGTTTTGTAAATTGTTTGTGGTTGAATTTTACCTTAAATTGAAGCTTGTATTACGTACAATTACATACCTAACATAAATATGTTGGGAAATTGATAATTTTGTAATTAAAAGTGATATTTTTAGGCGATTTTCATTTGTAAGAATATTCTTAACAAATTATCGTGTTACCATCACAACTACTTTAGATACTTCATGTTCGGAAAATACAACGGTTTTGTCAGCAAGGCGAGGGTTTCTGCATGCATGTATTTTCTAGTAGTTTTATAAAGATTGTGACCCAGTTTCCGAGGTATAACAACTCGGCCCAGAGGAGGTTGGACCATAGATATAGGAGACCTAGATTGCTGACTCTAATGTTTTCTATAACGCACGGCGCGTGACACTCATGAGCATTCAAAATCGCGGCTCGACCGGGCAAAAATCATAGAGCGACATAGGGAAAAACCATGTTTTTCGCATTTCAGCGTCGTCCTATAGCTTCCGATCCCGTTCTATCACTTTATTTTGGGAAGAACTAACTGGTGTGAAGGTTTTGGATGAATATTTGTACAATTTAAGTTCAATAAAGACGAAATAATCGATCGCTAAATGTTGTCTGAAAATCATCACATGGTCGGTTGAGCAGTTCGATACATTTTGTTGCAGAAAACAAAGGTTTTGGTTCTTTGGGTGCTTTTTTTCTAGAGGATCTCGGTTGGGATATAAAACAGGGAATAATATTGTGAAGTTAAAACCTATTTTGCTTGATTTACCTCGTCTGCTGGTGCGAAAAGTACTGTGATCAGTCTGATGCTCCGTTTAGTGTTACTTTGATGACCTTGCTGCTGCAAATGTCAAGGGATCTTCAAGTTTATATCGCGTGGAATGTGAAAAGTGATGAATCAATCAGGTTTTTAGAGAGAAGTAATGACATGGAAACTCGTTTCAAAAACTTTCACAGTGTCTGGTTCTCTCCAAGAAGCCTGATTGATTCATCATTTTTCACATATAGATGTGTCAATCATTGCCAAAAAGAATAAGTTTATTCAGCTTTGGCCTCCGGGATGAATTTCCTTCACGGACAACTCGATCTGAGTAAACCTTCCCGAAACGATGCACGAATATGTTGATGTACAAATCAACTATCTTCTTGATGATGATGGTGATATGGTCATCACGAAATTGTTCATCGAGGAGATGGCTTTCACGTGAGTGCTGCTGTAAGTTTTGGAAACAACTTGCTTTCACGTCTGCCGTTTTCGTCACAGAAGTCCAATCACCTACTAGTTGACGCAGATTCCGGTCAGTAGCCTTAACCACTTTGACGACTGATGGCGATAGTGTTATCAACTTTCCATAGCTTTTGATGGTGATTAAGCTTTGTGATTCTGGCTTGGAATTTGATCTATAGCTATGATCATCAGGTACCGGTACCTCAGCCTGGCTTTTGTCAATTGCTACCAAAGCAATTGCACATTCTGGACACTTAATACAGACTGTAATCTTTTTTACAATGTACCCAGCAATATAAGCCAGGACATCATCTCTCCATATTGTTGAACAGGTCAAAGACATGATGATGTTATGGTCAACATGGTGCATCTCTTCATCCATTTTCTCTTCTTCAATGACAGCACAGTTCGCTTTTTCAGAAGCTGCGATTTGGTTCTTTTGAAGTAGTGCACGGAGGGCCCACTTGAACTGAAGTGCATTCGGATTGTTATTCCAGCCAAAACGACCTCTGATTTTGCTGAAAAACATTTCGATTTGGTCTTGAGAAAAGCGATAGGTAAGTACATACTTAAAGTTATTGTGTTCTCTACTCAGCAGATTTTTTGCTATTGCTAGAATTGAGTTTGCAGATACAGCAAACCCAAGGATGAAAGTCTTTCGTGGTCCATCAACAAGTTTTGTTCCATCAACATCCTTCAGTTTTTTCAAGTACGAAATGATGTCAAGTAGATGGGCTCTTAACTCAGCATAATTCTCTAGCGTTAAAGGACTCTTAAATCTCTTGCCAAACTTACTCTTTGTGTTAAGAATGTCAAAGATATCATTAATGTTTTGAATAAATTCAGCAGTTTGCTCACACTTTTCAAACTGTTTTACGTTTAGGTTGCGGAGATAAATCATGCCAGCTGCTACAGAACTGCTTAATGTTTGGGCTGCAACTGCCACCTTCATCTTTTGATTGTGCCATTTAATGTGCACATTTTTCAACTTGTTTCCAAGGTGCAAGATATCAGATTGTTGGACATTGAATAGCTCCTTAATATAATACCAGCTGATTGTTTCTCCACCCGAGGTGTAAAAGATCTCCTTGTCTCCTAATGCATTGCGAGCAAGTTTTAACATATGGCATATGTCCAAAATGACATATAGAGTTTTGCCTGGTCGGGTAGGATGTTGGAAGGATCCATCAAAGCTGTCTATCTTACATCCAAGACGTCTAGCTGTGGCTAAATTCTTTGAGCAGCCATCAAAAGTCACAGCATGCACATCAAGCCCTGCATCGGTGAGTAGGTTAATAGACTCTTTTATGATCTGTGCTTGCATTTTAGAGTCCATGTGGTTAACTAAAAAGTAAGCAATAGGATAACTCCATGGTTTTTGTAGGCCTACTGCCATAACAACCAGTGCATTATGAGCAATTGTATCCTGGTCTTCTGCTAAGATTGGCCCATAGTCAGTATTGCCAGCAAATTTCTGCTTTTTAGCATCCCACAGAACTTCTTTTTTTATTGACATTTCGTCAACCAATATGATGCAATCTTTGTTATCATCCTCCAGAGTGTTCTGAAGATGTTCGATAACGTTACTCAAAAACCCAGGTTCACATTCAATTGATGAAGCCCATGACCGTATGGTAGATGGATGTGGTAAGTGGAGGGATTTGCGAACAAACTTGTACGCCTTTGCACTGTAAAAGTGCAAAGATATAGCGAATTGTTTTATTTGTTCACTGTATCTAGACCCAGTTGAGTTACCTTCATTTTTCTGCTCATTTGTGAATATATCTTTAGTCATATGACCAAAATTTGACATGAGATGTTGGCTTTGTTCTTCTGACAGAGCCTTAATTTCTTCTAATTTTTTTACAAGACCCTTAATTGTTTTTTCTTTGCGTAGATTTTTTGCACTGAGTGATCTTATTTTATTATTCTTTTTTTTCAGGGTTTTCTTTAACTTTTTCATAACTGTTGTAGGTGACTTAATGTAACTACCATGATCACTATTTACAGAACTCTTTCTTTTCTTTTTGGCAGGTATTTGGTCTTCTGGTGGTGGTGGCGATGCTTCTCTCTTTTTAGGAAGGGGTCTGGATGTAGTTGTCTTAACGAGGTGCGGAGGATAATCAAAAATGGATGGGACGGCATTTTGTTTCAGATATTTCTTGGATTGTTTTTTATTACTTGCTCCCCCTTATTGATATAGTCGTCGATTGTAAAGTGTTTCTCACACAGGACTGAATATTTTGTTGGCATCCAGTCTGCCCATTTCATGGCTGTTATCCAACTTTTTAGCAGGCTGGGATTGGTTATAGGAAATCTAAATAGTGTGAAGGGAAAGATGTATTTTTGGTTCACTGATGTGAACAAAACTCAAACGTTTTTGACCTTGAACAGGACAAGACCTTTAATGAAAGTTGTTGTCAACATGCACATATATAGACTACTAACACAGACATCAAAACAAGAAGTTATTTTTTGGTCTAATATTCTTTTATTAAAACTGTAAACAGTTTTATATTGTAGCTAACAAACTCAAAACTACATTTGTTGTCATTACAGTATTTACAAAATAAATTGTTTTTATGCTATTAAAAGCAGTCTTATTTTAATAGTCTTAATAAACTATTATGTTTACATGAAGTACGCTATAGTGTACAAATATACGATATGTGTGTTTTATAGACTTACTTATGGAAGGACAAGCGAATACCATCTTTTAAATCCCCACGTCTGGCCTTGCAGTTATACGCTGAACACGTATCGGGCATTCTTTTCGATAAAAAACACTTTTTTTAGAATAGAATGGCAAAATGCCTTAGAATTTTCAGATGAAAATACTGTTTTTGGTCGAAATAAGAATGAAATAACAAAACAAACAGCACTAGCTTTTGGAATAGGTCGAATAGTTAGATATATATCACGTTCGCTTGAGAAAAAACTCGTAAAAGACTGAAGGAATACACAGGAAAAAACCGAAGACGAAAAACGTGCGAAACTGCAGGCCTGCCCAATCTTGCCCGCTTGAATTGTAATTTGTAAATTGTATTGATTGTAACAAATATTCATCCAAAACCTTCACACCAGTTAGTTCTTGCCGAAATAAAGTGATAGAACGGGATCGGAAGCTGTAGGACGACGCAAAATGCAAAAAACATGGTTTTTCCCTATGTTGTTCTATGATTTTTGCCCGGTTGAGCCGCCATCTTGGATTTTCAAAATATGTCACGCCGGTTGAGCCGAGTCAGCAATCTAGGTCTCCTATATCTATGGGTTGGACAGCTAATTAGCGAGTTGTCACGTGAGCTCTCGACCAATGAGATCGCTCTATTTCCCATCGTGTTATCTGCAGAATTTGGACAGAAAAATTTGCATTCGACGGAAAATAAATCGGAAAAAAATATTAATATTAAAATTTTCTTGCAAAATCTCAAGTGTTGTAGTACTAATACTAAAGATCTGGCGATATCTGCAAAAATCTCTGAGGTAAACTTTATTTTCAATGTTATTTTGATGTTTGAAGTTAGTCGACTCCCCGCAACGTGTTGACTGAAGTCTAAATATGTTTACGATGTTTAAAATGAAATATCTAGAATTCCCATGGTTCGATTTTCTTCATTTTTGGTAGTCGTCAAGAAAAATATATAAGCTTTAAACCTGCTGGAATGATCCCGGTGATCCCCCGGCAGTTTTCGAGATATTGACCGTTGAAGTGACTACTGTCAACTCGACGCTCGCTAAAATGACGTCTAATACCGTGGAAAGAATATGATACGCCATCAAAGATGATATTTTCAATGAATTTTTGTTAAAGTGCTAAAATATTATTTAGAAGAATTTATATCTGTGCGAGAATTTATATCTGTGCGATTTTCAAAGTTTTGTTGTCTTTGGCCGACGCGACTGGATCGTGTACGTATTTCAAGACGAGCTGATCGCCTGATCCTGGGGTTTTTGCATAGATATCTATGGGTTTTTGTGGCAAATCGAGCTGCGGAATCCCCAGCATGCACAAATCAGTGTCATAACAGCCCATTCCAAACCATCAGAGAGCTCCACTTGTTCTAAAGCAAAAAAACAAGTTTTTATTGTATCATCATATGTATCATATATAATTAATATAAACAAATTAAGGAAGTGGTCATTATTTATGGGGAGGGGGGTTGGTAAATGGGGAAAATAAGAATTAAAAACTTCCTTGACCCCTCCTCTCCAGATTGAAAGCAAACTTTTTGTGCCTCCCCCCTCTTAAAAGTAGAAACTTTTCTGCCCCCCCCCCCAGTGTGGATTGAAAAATTAACAGCAATGAAACAGGCGTGCATTGCAGGTAAAATTAGATATTAGGACA